AAAACCTTATCGGAATATAATCTAGTTCAATATATATTGAAATCATTGTATTTACCATTTACCATGAACACATGCACACACACACACACACACACAGTCTATGTATCAGTCTATAATGGATGATAGCCGTGGCTGTAAGAAGCATATAATGGAAACAGATTGCTGTGTTGATTGTGTAGGCCTCAGGCTCTCCATCCCAGAGGAGCACTGCCGTTTACAGTGTGTTCAAAGGAGAGGGCTAAAAGGCAATTACAATGTTAATGTGTCCTGGCGGGGGGGAACAAGGAGAGAAAATCCACAAGGTGATGGAGTGAGTCAGGACCGCTAGAAATAGCACCGCCTGGACCGCCAGAGGAAAACACAACGGCAGCAATCAACAAGGAAAGACACGCGTATGAATATATGCAGGTCACTTGAGAAAAGATAGGATACTCTTGTATCTGACATGTAAAGAGAGAGAGACATTGAAGTGTGTGTGTGTGTGTGTGTGTGTGTGTGTGTGTGTGTGTGTGAGTGTGTGTGTGTGTGTGTGTGTGTGTGTGAGAGAGAGAGAGACAGAGCTGTGTTCATTCTCTGCTCCAGCAGGGTTAATATAACCCACATCTCTCCCGGGATCTCATAATAGGCCATTAAACAGGCGCATTAGGATAAATGAAAAGGCTTTTAAGTGGTTACCAAAAGACCACCTGGATTTCAGTCTCATATGTGTGTGTTTATGGCTAAAAGGGATGAATTTATTAGAGTTATGGGATGTGATTTTTCTGTTTTTGTTCTTATGCTCTCTACACGTCTCTGCCTCATTGAATTAATACGATCATTTGCAGGTTTATTTCAGATTGTTAGATGGCAAAATATCCCATATATACTGTATATATATATATATAAACGCTATTTTTTACATCATGCATTTTGACCGATATATATTTATTTAGACAGATAGATAAACAGATAACAAATAATGAATTGAACTAAATGTTTTTTTTAATTAATAAACAAATGAAAAAACATTTTCCAATAATTTGTTCTGAGTTATTATCTAATACTCTCAATAATATTCACAAAAACATTATTTATATCATTCATGGAACGTTTTATTTCTGAAATGTTTTAGTGATCTTCATCCAACATTTTTTAAATGTTACAAATTGTTTCAGAATGTTCAGAGAACATTCAAAAGTAACGTTTCCATATTTGGAAAATTATCAAACGAAATGTTCCCTTAACGTTTGCATTAAAAAAAATTTAAACTGGATGTTTCGAACATTCAGAAATAACCTACTGTTAGCAAAACATTCTTAGAACATAATTTTGCTAGCTGGGGTATTATAATTAGCTTTATTTAAAAGCAATCAGAGTCTAAAATATGTTTAGGTAAGCCTGTGTGGATGAACTATAGCAATTTTTTGTTCTAAATGTTAATTTGCAAATCTAATATAAACAAAAAATATAAGCAAATCAGGGGCCGTCACAGACGTGACAATAGCATATGAACCACTGCTGACAGTGCTGCTCTACTAGTGACTCCACTTATAAAAGCAGCACATATCTGTTCTGATAGCGGCTAATCAGCACAATAATGTACTTGGCATTGTGATGCTAATAGTAATGGATTCGGAGAGGGGCCAATGCACGCGATTGGCTAATTTCGCTGCGCCACGGCCCCCAGAGACACACGTGTCTTTTCAGTTTGGCTCTCTAATTGAAGTGTGTTATGTGTTATTTTCTGCCTCGCTGAGCCGCAGAAGAGGCTGCCAGTGGATCGGCTGACGGTTTCATACCGTGTCTGAAGCATAAAGATAAAATAGCTTTTGCTCTCATTTGAAATGCAATGCAAAGCATATACTCACTCTTTATTGGCATCACGAAGAACCTTTAACATCCTTTAACATAATGGAACCTTTCCACTGGACTTAAGGTTATTTATAGTGGAAGAGGTTCTTAAGATTTTTAAAATGAAAGGAAAAAATGGTTCTTTTAAGAATTGTTCACTGTAAGGTTCTTTGAGGAACCAAAGATGATTCTTCTATGCACTCTTAAAAATAAAGGTTCCAAAAGAGTTTTTTTTTTGCAGTGATGCCACAGAAGAACCAGTTTTGGTTCCTCAAAGAACCTTTCAGTGATCAGTTCTTAAAAAGAACATTTTTTCCTTTCATTTTAAAAATCTAAAGACCCTTTTCCACTATAAAGAAGATTTTGAGCAATGGAAAGTTTCCATGGATGTTAAAGGTTCTTCATGGAACCATCAATGCCAATAAAGAACCTTTCACAGCAAAACGCCCTTTTGGAACATTTATTTTTAAGAGTGCTGGTTCTTTAAAATGCAGTGAAGAAAAAAAACATACACTTATTAAAATGAAAGGTTCATTGATGGTTCCATGAAGAACCTTTAGGATCCATGGAATCTTCCATTGCACAAAAGTAGAAAGGTAGAAAAGGTTCCATATATAATCTTAAAGAACTAAAAAGTTATTTCAGGGAACCAAATATGTTGTTTAGTACTGTGGGCAACACTATAATGCAGAATGTGTGTTTTGGATCCAAATGCAGCCCTTTAAGTACAAATTCTTAAACCTTTTGGAAAGTCATCAGATCTACACTTTTTCATTTGACATGAGCTCGCAGATGTGAGTTTGTCTGCAGTGAACGATAAGCCTCATTACTCTGCGTCCCATAGTCTTCAGTGCGAAGCTAATTAATGATCTGTCTCTATATAGCAGCAGAAGAAGAGGGAATCGCTCCGCTACACTAGCTCAGCTCAGTGAAGTGTGTAATGAGAAAAAGGACAGAGCCGAATGAAGCAGCCACAGGGACAAAGGACCGGACTGATCATTTGTCTGGCCAAATCCTTTTGTTTCAGACTCCAGGATGCACCGTGATAACACAAAAAGACAGACAGAATCATGACACTGCTGTTCTTCAACAATAGCTTGCTTGAGATCACCTTGCGGAGCGAGATAGCATTGAATCATTGACAAAGACAGCAGTGCGACACACCTGACTGATCCTGGATCAGTGTCCCGGGGGACAGATTGAGGATTATGTGCGGAGAGACTCCTGGGAGAATCACCCTGACCTCTTATTGCCCCCTATGATTTTTCTGAAGGGTAATAAACTGCATGAGAAGCGGAGAGGACATGCCATCACATTCACTATGCCAAAATACACATGAAATGAGTTCCTGAGAATCACATGATTTTACCAGTGAAAACACACATAACTGAGCCACGGTGACAGCAAGAGCAGAACAGAATGGGAATGATTGCAAACATGGCGCCAGATAATAGTGGCTGTAGAGGTGAGGAAAATCAATCTGATGCTTTTTCACACCGGAGAACAGTGACTTAACAGATCCTGAGCGGCTTTACAACACACGGGCTCCTTGCAAAGAATGTCGATACAACGTAATTAATCAGATTAGTAAATCTAGCCTTAATAAATCTAGTAGCTACATCTCTAGCCTTGGATTTCTTCATAATGCTAAAAAAAGCCAAAAAGAGATGTCCGGTTGCATGTGAATGAAGGTATATATTTCATATTTACATTTCAAAATATAAATTTGACCAGGATAAGTCATCACCATATTGCTTACAAAGTCGGCTGCTATTATAATTCTAATCGGCACTCTTACTGTTACTATTTCTCCCCGTAATTTATTTTTATATTTTTTATATATGAAGAGTGCAAAAGCCTCTAAGTGCCATCTGAAATTTTCTTCTAAAATGAGCATTTTTGTCAGGCTCCTCTATTTGTTATTTCACTTCATTGCCATTAAAATTAAATTATTGAACCTACTGTACACATGACAGCCTGAGAAAAATGCTCATTCGTGACTCTGGAGCACAAAAGCAGTGTTAAGTCGCTGGGGTATATTTGTAGCAATAGCCAACAATACATTGTACAGGTCAAAATTATCCATTTTTCTTTTATGCCAAAAATCATTACACGTTTAATAATATTCTATAAAATCGATTTGCAGCATTTATTTATTTCAACTGAAATATTATTTTTGTAGAAAATATAATAACGTTTTGATTATTCGTTTACATTTTAGCATGGCAGGACATGACATCTAATATATAGCCTATGTAATCAGACCAAAATTTTTTTTTTTTTTTTTTAAAGTCCTTGGTTTAATTATTTAACGCACGAGTATCATTGTCTTGATACTGATTTAGAATTAATTTCTTTCAAGAATGAAAACACGAAACGTTAATACTGCGCATATTTTAAAGAACCGAGGATTTTATGGTATTTCACAGTATTTTATAATGAATAATTCGATCCAAACGAACACGACTGTAATGTGCTCATAGGCCTAAATGATTTTATAAAGCGTCGCTTGTTTGTAGGAATCAGAACTGCACTTTCATAAAGTACACATGAATATGATGAATACATGCGAGAGCAGATGAATGAAAATTCCATCAGAGAAAAAAGATACTTTCTTCTATCGCTTAATAACTTTTCAAAATCATCTTCATTCACTTTAAAAAGAGCCCGAGAACATGATGCAGATTAACAGCCCAATGCGCAATATTTCTGCACCGTGACAAATAATCCATGAGAAACATCCTTGCTATTTTTTTTTACAAATTGAAACGCAAAATTTAAGATAACTCAATAGCTATAAAGTCGACCAAAAATCTAAATCAGTGAAATCTAATTCAAATCAGCGACGTATTTCTTCCCTTGTCGAATGAAGGAAGGTTTTAAATCCGTTTAAAAGAGTATTCCAAAACCAGCTCGAGGGTGGCACGGTTCCTTTCGTTGAAAATGAGTTCTAAACCTTCATCTGAAGCAATAAAAAACTGTAGATTTCAAGATGCGACAGGAAAACACAACAAGAATACTTCAAAAACACTTTTAGTGACCTAGTACGATGCGTGGAGACGGTTTATATACACGTAAAGTTATGCAACACTATGAGACCCCGGATGCCATTGGGTGTTGTGACCGAGTATATTGGGCATCATGAGAGTGGAGAGGAGGATGGGGTCCTGCAAGCACCTCCCCTAGAAATGCAGCAAATCTTTACACCGTTTTTTGTCGGTGCGGAGTAGCGCGCGCACTGGGAACCGGAGACGCGCGAGACTCTTAGCATTGGCAGGCTGACGGTGACACGTGCCTCTCTCTCAACACCCCCGAGCTCCCGTGTACCGCATTGGCATCAGCGACGGCCACCGAAACGCAGGAGTCGACGCTGTGCCACGGATACAGAGAACGGAAAAGCCGCGCAAAACCGCGAGCGCTCTCCTTTACGCACCGGACATTAAACGCACTCAGCGCGCATCAGAGTCCGGCCAGCGAACAGCATGCAGGTGCCAGGCATCATCTACGTCTAAAAGTGACATGAACCACGGAATTAGCAAAAACACCAGGCAGAACTGGAGATAACGAACACGCGTCACCACGATCTTCTCGCTCCGTTGACGCGCAGACAAAGAACTCCGGTCGCACTCTAAATTCGATATAGCTAGAAAAACATTTGAAGGGGAATTTTCACACCAGTCGCGTTTAGGAGAGCAATCATGGCTACGGTAATTAGAAGCAAGATCTCTAACAAGCTGTCCAACGCGGCCACCACGGTCACCAATAAGTCGCAGGCGAAGGTGAGCGGGATGTTCGCCAAACTGGGCTTCCAGGCCGCCACCGATGAAGAGGCTTTGGGCTTCGCCGCCTGCGATGATCTGGACTATGACCACAGGCAGGGGCTTCAAATGGACATCCTTAAAAACGAGGGAATGGGTGGAGAGGGCGGCGGGGACACGGGGGGCGAGGGGACCGTCGAAGGGGACAGCCATTACCAGAGGGATGGAACGGGTCCGCCGCCCGCAGCGTCCAAAGACGGCGGATTTTGCTCCGATTTAGGCGGCTCGGACAAGCCAAGAATCACTGCTTGGGAGGCAGGATGGAACGTGACCAATGCGATCCAGGTGAGGAGGCATTACGCGTCACGGCGATGCATATAAAAACAATAACATTCTAAAGTTTCTAGTATTGATCAATATGGAAATGTTATGTGAAAACTGTTTGCAATACATATATTAAAAGGGTTAGTCCTCTGTGAGGCAAAACGTTTCTTTAATGGCGTAGATTTTTCTTGTGCTGATGTCGTGTCACGGGGGAACCGACTGATATTAAGGGACCTTCATCAGCGAGTTGAGCTTTATAAAACAGCATTCAAGCAGTCCATTCAATGTGCATTTCTATTCTGGCGTTTTGTGGGGTTTGCATGAGCAATTCCGTCTTTTTTCGACGTGCGTAAAACCGGAGAGCATAATGTGCCTTTTACATGTTACGATTAAAAATATCCGTTCCGAAATGTATGCACTCTACAAAACGATGGTTAAAAAAATAACTTAAAAATGTGTTTTGGATAATGCCAAAAAATGCATATTCAAACGATAAACCCCCACGCATTTAATCGTGCGCAGTTCAAGCTCTTAATATCAAAAGTGACGTCCATGACGTGACTCCCTGCTTATTTGATTCATCCCGATGACGACACATTGAGGTGAGCGTGACTTTGCTCACAGCAAATGGAATGTCCGTGACTGAATTCAGCTGCATTTCTAATGCTCCATCACAACACCTGCGGCGAATGTAGAAGCTGATGATGGCGCATTCCCTCTGGAGAACTTCCTAAGTCCATAAAAGGACAAAAACGTGACACCAAGACCAAAATGCACTCTTAAAAATAAAGGTGCTTGACGATGCCATAGAAGAACCTTTTATGTCTAAATGGTTCCATAAAGAACCTTTAACATCTGAAGAACCTCTTCTTTGTTGGCGAAAGGAGGTTCTTCAGATAATAAAGAGATGGCTCTTTGTGGAACCAAAAATGGTTCTTCTATGGCATCACTGTGAAGAACCATTTAAGCACCTTTGTTTTTAAGAGTGAGGGTATAACTGCACTTTGCATGGAAATAAAATGGAATAGAACAGAATGCATGGGGCATTGCATAGTGAATTACAGTGTGAGCATAAAAACCAAGCAGCGTTCTGTTGTATAAAGCCATGCTCTGCTTATCTCCACAGGGCATGTTTGTTCTCGGGTTACCCTACGCCATTCTCCACGGAGGATATCTCGGAGTACAAATACAACCTGTCCGATTAGTCTGGAAAATGATGAGCGGTGGTAGTTCGGTGATAAGTGTTACGCATCCCACATATTGATAACCAAACCGATAAGTTTCCCACAAAAAAATACATAAATAATAAAAAGCTTTTAACCCACTCTTAAAAATTAAGGTTCCAAAAGGGTGTTTTTGCAGAAGAGCCTGTTTTTGGTTCCCCAAAGAACCTTTCAGTGAACAGTTCCTAAAAGAATCATTTTGAAGAACATTTAAAAAAATCTAAAGAACCTTTTCTGCATTTGAAAGGTTCCATGGATGTTCAAGGTTCTTCGTAGAACCATTGACGCCAATAAAGAACCTTTATTTTTAAGAGTGCAGGTTCATTCAGAATCAAATCTGACCTGAACACACAACAAATCCGCGATTCTTTACGCATCCACATGAGAAACGCCTTGGACAGCAGCGCGTTACACAAGAGCAACCCTATGTTTTTGTTGTGAAGCGAGAAAATTGTTTACAAGAGAATTTATTTCAGCTTTGATTTGGCCCGACTCCACGGGAATCATTTCATTTGAGTGCAAGACATTCAGCTGAGCAAAGCAATGCTGTGAGAGTGCAAATCTCCTGCAATACACGACTAAGAACAACAAACAACCAATTAACTACAAGGCACCTAACGCCCTGGCAATAAACACAATAGAGTACGTTTAAAATAAATGGATGGATTTTCCTTAATTCGATCTGAGGACACGTAGCCTATAGCCTAAGTCTTAATTATTATCGTTTGCATTTACTGAACCAAATCGGAGAGGGCAAGATATAAAATAATAATGAAGGCAGCATACTGGACGGTACTTCAACTATGCATTTTGATCGTATGATGTCCATGCAGTATTAGAGATATTCAGAAGAAAACGAGGGTTTTATTCACACGCTGCGTTTCAATTGCTCTCTGGCAGAAAACACACAAAGAGACTCGTATTTTTACAAGACATCGAATAACGAACAAGAAAGAGTCGCTGAAGATGAAGACAATGAAGAGGAAAACGAAAATCACTCGGAAATTATGGAAGATATTAAAACATCCCACCAAATCAAATCGCTAAATTTCGATTTTTAGCATTGCGTTGTTTATCGGATATCAAATGTGGTAATTTCAAACAATTAATCATGTTCATGTTCCCCTCGGTTGGATCGAAATCAAGGGACTTGCATAAGACATTTTTTCATTTTGTGCAATCCAATGGGTGCTGTGGAAATGTTATTAAAAAACCGTATGTGTTGTGTTATTGTGGTTTAAAAGATGGAATGTATATCACAAAATCATTATCATATATCGTGAAAATGAATATATTGAAGAATAAAGAAACGTGTGAAATTATAGCCTATTGTACAACTGTTTTTTGGTTTTGTGTGATATGGGAAAAAATGAAACACGTGCATCTTTTCCCTTCAAAACAGAATAAATCTACAAAACAATAAATCAGTTGAGTCCCACCTCTCAGAGATTTATTCCAAACGCGCATGTTATATGGGTACACATTATATTCATATTATAATAGGCTATAATAGACATATTATACAGCAAATGCATTTTCAAGATTTCGATTTTCTGATAATTCCTGAAGTTGCGGAAGAGAAAAATAAAAGCCGTATTTTTTTGATGCATTACAGTCGACTGCGCACATACTGGTTGGAAAAATAGACAGCTTCACAATGTGAAAAATAATGACCGCAGCTTTTAAATGCATTGCATGGACATTTATATGAATTATTACAGTCTTCAAATGGACCGTACGGTTAAAATAAATTGTAATGCAACTGATAAATGCAACTTGTCATTCGTGTTTCATACGGCGCAACAGAATGAAGTGCACTCGTGCAGAAAATGCGCGACAGATTTTGGCTCTCGGCTCTGATTCCGCAGGTAAACATCTGGATGGACTGTTTCTCAGTTACTGAGGCTAATATGAAAAAATAAATAAAATACAAAGATGCGCATTCGCATATGGTTGCGTGCATGCACTCGCCTGGACACAGCATAAAAGAAAAAACATCAAAACGGCTCTACAGTTAAAGTCTATATAGTAAAATAATTAATTTAAAGAAGATTCACTAAAAAAAAAAAAAAAAAAATGTAGTATAGATTTTTTTTTATCGGCACAAAATAATTCTGCATGACACTATTGCACCGTCATTGCCTACGGAGGAGGTCAGAGAAGAAATTTTAGACCGTTTCTATATTAAGCGAGTGGAGAGTTGTGGCAAATGTCGGTCGTGTTGGATTGTGGGAAATCGAGTTCAACCAGAGGAGCCATTTTCTCATTACTGGACCACGAAAAGCCTGAGAAACTGATATTGTAGCGCCATCTGGTGGCTTAATGACATACTGCCGAAACAAGACGAGAGAGTTGTACAAACACATTCAACAAAAGCACATCACAACAACAGCTGATACCGTGAGTTTTTCCACACACACAAAATGTCTGCTTGAACTAAGTTCACAAAGACAACACTTTTTAACTAAACACTGCTGACTTGACATTAAGATTCCTACTTTTATGGAAATGTACAAGAGCGCTTTCTGCATATGGACTGCAGTGATAATTTGTAAACGGTGTCTAGAATCGCCAGAGCTTAGAACAATATTTTGTTCAAAAATGTTTGCAAACGACAGAACTGTATTTACTCACCCTCATTATCGCTCGGAACCCGTATGACTGTTTTCAAGCAACACGATTGCGAGAAATGATCAAGCAGAACGTCCTGAATGCGGTTTCCACTGGACAAAGCCTAATCAAACGTTAAAAACAACCGCTATTAAATAAAGCAAATTCAAACCGTTATTCACTGAGAATCCGCGCTCAAATCTCAGGCCTGCGTTTTAAAATTTACGCGCGTCAACCGTCAGTTCGTGAGGCGCGAAGTTTGAATATGCGAAAGCGCCAATGAGATTTGATGGAAATAAACACTACAATAAAAACACCCGCTTATTTATCATTTGTTCTTAACTAGTAGTTTTGTTTTAAACCAGTTCATGTGTTAGATATAGACCTGGCCTTGCGGTAAAAGGGAGATAAAACCAATAAAGCAACACCAGGACAGAACCTACTGAGAGCAAACATTCAGACCTTGAAATCTAAGTTTTTAATATAAAGAAAAGTAATTCGACATCGTTTTATCTTAAAGGAATTTATTCCCCCACACACACACACACACACACACACACAAAAATGAAATACATTAAAATTCTATTGAGATCCTTATAAGTAATAATAAAAACATTTATTGTTTCAAGTAATGGTTAAAACTTTACAATGTGGCTTAATTACATATTTACAAATGCATGTAAATTGTAGCGTGTGAACAGCACAACACGTAAAAACAACATACAACTGAAAGTCATGCCGAAGAGAGGCAGAAAAGATCAGCAAGATGAATTACGGACACATCAGTCTGTTTTGTTCCACAAGTTGAGGTCTGAAGAATGGATTCGGTCCTAGTTGTTGGCTGCAGTCTGCGTGGTTGGTTTCTTACAGGAGTTCTCCAGCACCCACGGGTGCACCATGACACCCTGGATAGGGAGACGGTGCATGGGGTTGTGTTTCAGCAAGCGGTTTATCAGGTCTCGGCTGCCCTCGCTCACATGAGCAGGGTACGTAAACTCAACCTGGAGAGAATCAGAGAGATGGTACACGACGTAAGATGCATAATATAGACACATTGACATCAGACAGACTGAAGATTATCTACATAAAACAGAAGTTCAAAATAATTTTGCAAGGTATTTCAGTCTAAAGAGAATTGTCAGCTGATCTCAACAGCATAACATTCATATATTAAATACAGAACAAACGCGAATTATGCGTTTATGAAATTAAAATCAACAAGAGCCTCTGATCACTCAATTTCCTTTCAATGCAGCCCTGTTCATCAGCGATAAAGGATACAATAATAAGTTACATTGGTAACACTTTAAGGTTCTATTTATCACATTAGGCAACATGATTTAATAATTTTACAGCATATACTACTAACCTAGTTTAATGTTAACTTCTACATAGTAACATTGAAATTGTTAGTTTTTTTTATAATACTTAAAATTATATAGATCAATGAAGAACAGTGTATTTCTAAATTAATTCCCGCAGCTGTTAAACGTTTTACTGTCAGTTCATGAGAGTTAATGAAATTAATTTTACAGTGAAGGGTTACCACAATAATATTACATATTAGCCAAAGTGTAAAAACAACGCAACAGTCCTACATGAATTTAGAGATGTTTTGTAGTCACATAGATCTATATATAACCTAACAATTCTAACCTGAAGAGCACCCAAACCCAATAAATTTTTCATAAGGGTCAATTTTCTGAAATTGAGAGTTATGCATCATCTGAAAGCTGAATAAATAATCTTTCCATTGATGTATGGTTTGTAAGGATAGGACAATATTTGGAATCTGAGGGTGCAAAAAAATCTAAATATTGAGAAAATCATCTTTAAAGTTGTTCAAATGAAGTTCTTAGCAATGCATATTACTAATCAAAAATTAAGTTTTAATATATTTACAGTAGGAAATTTACAAAATATCTTCATGGAAATCATCTCTGGAGGAAGGTAGTCCAGCGTACCACACAGCGTCGACCTCCTGACAGACAGCAACAGACACACGATAAACACACAAACTGAGAAAAACACCCTCCTCAGGAAATCAAAAAGACCATGAGCTGCACTTAAGTGTTGTGCCGATAGACGATAGTATCGTGATAAAGATATCGCCTGTGGCTGATGCCTTTGACGACAGCAAGACTACTAATATTAATTATTATTGTTAGGCTAGTAATACTTTCTAATTAATATTAGGGCTTATTTGTTGTTCCATTATATTTCTTGTTTTTTCACGTTTTCACAGTGTTGTGCGTTATAACCAATCACACACGATTATGTTGAGCTTATGAATGCAATGGCCAATCAGAGGCGTTCAGATGAGTCATCGCTGAAGCACCAGAGTTTTGTTGTTCAGTGCGCACGGACTGAACTCCGAGTCTCGAATTCTCTCATTATAAACAAAGTGCAGATGTACACTACCAGTCAAAAGTTTGGGATCAGAACAGTTTAATGTTTTTTTACAGGAGTTTCTTCTGCTCATCAAGGCTGCATTTATTTGATCAAAAATAAAGGAAAAAATTAAATAGTGAAATTACAATTTTTCTATTTTAATATACATTAAAATCTAATTTATTTCTGTGATCAAAGCTGTATTTTCAGCATTATTGTCACATGATCCTTCAGAAATCATTCTAATACACGGATTTATTATCAGTTGTGCTGCTTCATATTTTTTTGGAACCCGAGATACTTTTTTAGAATTCTTTGATAAATAGAGTTAAAAAGCAGAGTATTTATTAAATCTTTTCTAACAATATACACTACCGTTCAAAAGTTTGGGGTCAGTAAATTTGTTCTTTCTTTTTTTGAAAGAAATTAACTTTTATTCAGCAAGGATGTGTTAAATTGATAAGAAGTGACAGCAAAGATTTATATTGTTAGAAAAGATTTAGATTTTGAATAAATGCTGTTCTTTTTAATGTTTTATTCATCAAAGAATCCTGAAAGTATCGCAGTTTCCAAAAATAATATTTGGCAGCACAATAAATAAATCAATCTAATAATAAATCAGCATATTAGAATGATTTCTGAAGGATCATGGACACTTTAACAAGTCTTACGGACCCCAAACTTTTGACCGGTTGTGTACTTGCAATATAAGAGATTTATTCATCATACAACGTAAACAGCTTCAATGATTATAACGGGAGTGTTTTTTTAGTGCGCATAAACTCGCACTAGACTGAAGTCAGTTATGATGTTCTTTGGTAATGTAAACGTTCTTTGCTTGTTTTCAGTAGCTGCTTTTTGAATAACCGAGGAAATGCAAGCCTTACGATTAGTAATTTACAATGTTTCTATTAAATTGTTAAATACAAATTCAGTCATTAAAAACTTTAGGTTGCTTTTAGACTTACACGGGAGTTGGTTCACTTTCCAGCAATGAAACCAAGTAAATAAATAATTAAATTAGCACGATAATATGTGACCTGTGCAGGCAAAATGAGTCAATAATAATTAATATTTACAATATAGCCTTTTTTTTAAATATTTGATCTGTTATTAAAAATAAGTCCTGATTTTCATCCAACATTTTATTTATTTTGTCTGTAGCTCAAAATTAGCCTGTGCACATTCCATATCATTTTACCAGCACGGGTCACATATCGTGTATCGTGATCTCACAGGCTGACGATATGAAAATTGAGCATATCGCCTAACACTATGGCACTTTAACGGTTAATGAAACAAAAGATGACATGCACAAAACCAAAGTTATGATTACACCTGCTTATGTACGCAGAAGGCTGACCTGGAGGAGGGTGTGTGGACAGACCAGCCAAAGTCTGCGATCTTCAGTTCTCCATTGGACCCCAGAAGCAGATTTTCAGGTTTGATGTCTCTGTGAATCACATTCTTGGAGTGACAGTAGCTCAGAGCGTCTGCGAGCTCCATTACATACTGCAAGCAGACCATATACACACACACATTATTATGAGACGTTATCAGTCTTCATACATTAATCATGAGCTGTGAAACCGCAGCAGACAGTGGTTTCTAACCGTGGCACTTCTCTGGTCGTCGAAGGTCCCGCAGCGCTGGAGCTCTCCATACAGCTCTCCTTTAGGAGCGAACTCCAGGATGAGATAAACGCGCGCCGTGTCGTGGAAATAACCGTAGAGACGCAGGATATTAGGATGTCTGAAAGGAGACGAGGAGACAGTGAGTTCACTTCTCAACACACATCTTAAATTCCAAATGCATGGGTTGGGATCATTTCAATTTGAGCAATTCTGATTCTTAACCATTCCCAGTTTTGATCTCAAAGTATTAGACATGAAATATTTATTCTATCATTTGTAAAACATTGTTGCAACTGAATACCATGAACAAAAATCAGCAGCCTAAAAAACTGTTACTTTTGCTTTGGTTTTTTTGTAAAAATGACTTCAAAAATTAATAATTAAGCAATAAATTAAGAACAGATATGTGACCCTGGAGCACAAAAGCAGTCTTAAGTCGCTGGGGTATATTTGTAGCAATAGACAACAATACATTGTATGGGTCAAAATTATACATTTTTCTTTTATGACAAATCATTAGGATATTAAGTAAAGATCATGTTCCATGAAGACACTTAGTAAATGTCCTACCGTAAATATATCAAAACTTAATTTTTGATTAGTAATATGCATTGCTAAGAACTTCATTTGGACAACTTTAAAGATGATTTGCTCAATATTTAGATTTTTTTGCACCCTCAGATTCCCGATTTTCAAATGGTTGCATCTCAGCCAAATATTGTCCTATCCTAACAAACCATACATCAATGGAAAGATTATTTATTCATCTTTCAGATGATGCATAAATCTCAATTTCACAAAATTGACCCTTATGACTGGTTTTGTGCTCCAGGGTCACATTTATGAATTAGCAATAGCACAACTAAATACAACCAAACAGTTCAGGTACAGAAATTTAAATATCAAATGTAAAATAACACTGCATAGTTTTCTTTTTATAAATATAATATAATATATGAATCCTTAAAGTCATGTAAATTTACTCAGTTTTATTTATTTAGTAATTATTCAGTGTTATGAATTACTCAGTTCTTTGATTAACTTTAATGACACATGACCGCAGCCTAATAAACCCGTTCCTGTTTAAGACTGAATGCACAGATCCAATATAGTGTTACAAAGGCGTTTTCTTCCTCAACTCTTTACATTCACTCAAGACAAAACTGACTCTTTATGAGGATATTGTGACAATTGTGTGTGCATTTGTCCATTCGAACCAGTTCTCGAGACTGCTCCAGGGTCACATATGAATTAGCAATAGCACAACTAAATACAACCAAACAGTTCAGGTACAGAAATTTAAATATAATCAAATGTAAAATAACACTGCATAGTTTTCTTTTTATAAATATAATATATGAATCCTTAAAGTCATGTAAATTTACTCAGTTTTATTTATTTAGTAATTATTCAGTGTTATGAATTACTCAGTTCTTTGATTAACTTTAATGACACATGACCGCAGCCTAATAAACCCGTTCCTGTTTAAGACTGAATGCACGGATCCAATATAGTGTTACAAAGGCGTTTTCTTCCTCAACTCTTTACATTCACTCAAGACAAAACTGACTCTTTATGAGGATATTGTGACAATTGTGTGTGCATTTGTCCATTCGAACCAGTTCTCGAGACACAACTCTACTCATCACCGAAGTTTGCGAATGCTCCCAGATTTTGTTTGATGAGAAACGAGTCTAATGACTCCAGAGTGATAAAAACAGGCAGATGGTGAGAACTTGTACCTGAGATGTGACTGGATCTCCACCTCCCTCCGCAGCTGGTGCTCCACTCCGGCTTTCTCCAGCTGCTTTTTGAAGAGAACTTTGAGTGCCAGGATGAACTTGGTCTGACGTTCCCTGGCCAGATAAACACTCCCAAACTTGCCTTTGCCCAGAGCTCGGCCAATGTCGAAATTCTCTAAACTCCACGCTTTCCTAGAGAACAGACACGGACTGTCATGACCGTTGACTGATTTTGAGAGCACTGCAGCATTAAACACAGGGACAGAAAATACAAGTCTTTCCAAATGATCATTAGACAGACTGTCCATGAGCCATTTGAAAAACACTCAGGAATATATCAAATATAAATAAAAATAAATAAATAAATAAAAAAAATTAAAAATTTAATTCTACAATAAAAAAAAAAAAAGCAAAATATTTTTGTATTTTCTGAGATGTTGTTTAAATATGCAACTGAGGGCATATCTAATTAAATATGCTCTTTTTAGCAAACATTTCCAGAACATTTGATAAATCCAGGTTCATAATTCTAGTTTGATTGTCGTCATATTAGAGTTAAAGGTTTTTCCAGAGTGGACTACTCCATAGATCAGAAAACAAACACACAGCGCGGGTGTTTTATATGAATGTATCTCTGAAGGGAATTGACTGTCTTCAGAAAAGTTTCGATGGCATTTTCATTTGATCTGATAAAGTGAACCATACTAGTAGTAGTAGTAGTAGTAGTAGTAGTAGTAATAATAAATAAAAATGTTGAAATTAACACCCTCTAACAAGGAACAATACTTGCACAGCTTTCATTCATCTTAATGCTACAAATGGACTCTTATTTTAAAGTGTTACCATTTCATTTCAACAGTCATGCTTAAAGATGCACA